ATTGAATAAAATATTATTCTATTATTACTACCAATCTATTGTTATTTCTAGTTTATTCTCTTATTATTTCTTCAGGCAATTTCCTTAGATTATTCAGCTACCTAACCAGATACTCATATTATCCTGTTTTTCAGTTTATTTGGTGACCAATCTTGTATTATATTTAACACAGTAATGTCAGTAATTGGACACATGTTATTTTCCTTACCTATAACAATAACTTTGAGTCTTTGTGCTTCAATGACATGACCGTCTGGACAGAGAAATCACATAATATATTATGACTCTCCTTTTTAAGCATTATCTTTGGCTGATGTTTAGACCATTTCTCTTTTGCACTGAAGTCAAAAATTACGATTTAATTCCGAATTAATTATCTTACCAATCAATCCGGCTTTCAGCTGGTTGGAATGTCGAATTGAGCCCCTTATATTGCTCACTGAGGTACACTGCTCTAGTTCCACGTGCCATGTTTAATGGATGTTAATTATCTTCTTTTAATTCCCCTCTCCAAGTTCTCCACTGCCTTAACCGCGTATTGAACTCACTCTCTTTGGGTCCTGTCACTGGATCTAACCAACGCCTTTATCCACTGTGCCGCGTGTCCTTGAGGTTATGACGATATTTACACAGGTTCAATCTCTGATACTGAGCATTTTATCCCCTAAATAGTACAGATTAATACTATATTTCTTCATATATATATATATATATATATATATAGATAGATAGATAGATAGATAGATAGATATTACCATAGAACTTATGGCTCGATCTAACTATTTCAACTGTAAAATGATGACACCTTGCCGCAAATTCATAACGGCTAGGTACCATATATGTTTGAACATAGCATTATGATATATATACAGACATTTTAATATTTGTTTTATAATTCAGCCCTTTTCTCAAATGAAAGATGTGGTAAATTATTGCCTTTAATCTGCCACGATATCTTGTAACATGTCATCAAGGGTTTTATATTCCTTGATTTGTTCACAGACTGCTTGACCTAACACGGATAAACAGACTTACTATTTTGCCTATAGCCGTAGGGATCTAGAAATTTTTACCTATAGCCGTAGGGATCTAGAAGACTTTACCTCTCGCCGGAGGGAGCTAGAAGATTTTATGTATAGCCTTCCCAAGTGGCATTTGTATGTGGTAAACGCAACAGCCAAAGCGGGATTTCGAACTCAGCCTACCAATTACCCTTTTTCACTTCGCTAGCCGTCAAACCACCCGCACATCCATATACACTCCTGAAAACTAATAATCCGTATATATAAAACAAATGCTATTTGTATCATCGAGAAGAAGAAACGAGAGTTGCAGAAAACCTCGAAGACTCATTTACGTGTCACTTTTAGTATCGAAATTGATTAATAGTTCCTATAATGTCTGAGATTCCCAAAGAAATATAGTGAGAAACAAAACGGAGAGGGTCGGGTGGATGGTAACTGTGAAAAGAAATGAAAAAAAAAGAAAGAAATTACGTTTCTGTGGCGCGAGAAAGCTCCTTACTAAATAAATAACAAGAATCGATATTGATGTGACATCTTTCACGCGAGAAATAACCGACATCTTGAAAATTGCTTCTTTTTGTACAAGTTTCAGGATTTTGCAAATGTTTCAAACGGTGTCGAGTATCTTTACAACCCTTCACCCTCTCCAAAGACTCTTGAAGAAGTCGAGGAAAAGAGGCAAAGAGGGGAAAAGTGGAAAGTGTTGTGGAAGCTATAAACACGTCAATTTTATACAGGAATTACAAGTGCAATTTATTTTCTGCTTATTGTGATATACTTACAGAGATTTCCGTATAGAAACGGAAGTGCCAATTTCTGTGTATGAATATATATATATATATATATATATATATATATATATATATATATATATATATATATGTATAATAAAGACTCAAGCACTAATATTCCATGGTTATAATTTATTACATTGGAATCGTAATCACGATCCAATTCATCAGACCTACAAATTCAAAAAGAAATCGGAAAATATAACTCTGGGTATAAAAAACAAAATCTTAGTGAGTGTGTATGTGTGGGAAACAAGTGTAAGAGGGAAATGTCTGAAAGATCTAGAGAGAGATGTAACAGAAGAAGAACAGGAAAGCCTGAAGGTGAAGGTGGGGATTAAAATTTAACAGAGAGTAATTAAATAACGGTTTAAATGAGTGAGATACAGATAAATATGAATTATTTTTCGATGCATAATTCGCTACCGATTCGCTGACCTAAATTAAAATTAAAAAGCAGACACCGGAAATGTGTGTATACATTTGTGGTGACACTACGCACAATAAAAAACGATATGATCTAAACTTAAAATCCAGAAGATGAGAGAGAGAGGAAAAAAATGATGTGGGGTGGGGAACGAATAACGAAGGGCATTTATGAGAGAACCGATGTGTAATCAAGAAAATTTTAACGTAAATATAAATTCTGTCCTCTTGGGAATATATATATATATATATATATATATATATATATATATATATATATATATATATATGTATATATATATATATAATAAGATATAAGATATATTAGATAATAAGATCTACTTCTGTATGGTGTATTGTCTTCTTAAAAATAAAAACAAAAATACTAAGGAACTCCGGATTATGCACCTGACGTGTTCTTTTCTATTTTTCTGCATACTTGTACTTATATATATATATATATATATATATATATATATATATATATATATATATATATATATATATTGAATATTATTATCTATCTATCTATATATATATATATATATATATATATATATATATATAGAGAGAGAGAGAGGAGATACACACACACACACACAGATACATACATACATACATATATATATATATATATATATATATATATATATATATATATATATATATATATATATATATACATATGTATTTGTGTGTGTGTGTGTGTGTATATGCGCCCTTTATGGTTCTATTTGTTAAATATTTCAAGATTTGTAAATCACGTTTCGCATCAATATTGTTATTATGTATATTTGATTTTAATTTGTCTATAAGACCGCTCGGCTTTTCTACGTGGGTGTTGTGCGTAGAGTTGCACGGACATCGGGCTAAGATCCAAAGTACAGTGTTTCTATTCCTTCTCAGTCGTGTTCTCGTCTTAATTCGGGACACACAAAAAAATGCAAACCTCGTCCTAAGGATCTTGACGCTGTCAGATTGGTCTCGCAAGAGGACATTTGACATTTTTGGAGCATTAATCAAGTTCTATATCTCGTCTGAAGGTAGACAATCTTAGAAAGTTCACAACCATCCTAATTGAATGTATTTGCCAATTTATAGCAGTTTTAAGTTAATCAAACCTCCCACTGTGAGCTAACAAGGGGATATTTGTCAGTTTGGGACGATTTCCCAAATAGCATGTCCTATCTTTTGTTTGAAGGTAGACAATTTCTGAAATTTCACAACTGGTCTAACATTGTCCGAGCATCGATCTGTTTTAGTTGTCACGTCCGACAGTCTTACTGTATTAACATTCCGGCTGAAAAATGTAATTAATATTACTTAAAAAAAAAAACAGTGGATTTACTTAAATAAATTATATCTATAAAAATAACGTATATACAGAAAATATATAAAATTATTGTCAGACTTCATTTATTTCATAATATTTTGTCCTTGCTTACGTTAATATATGTTTCGTAAGTAGAAATGATCGATCCCAAAAATCGTCGGTGTGTATGTTTATAAACAGTAACTTGGACGCTTCTCTGTGGCTAAATCAGGCGATATTACGGTTCCCATAATGGATATACGTCCGATTTCTGTCGGAGAATGTATGTTTGCTACGATAATCTTTCGAACATTCAGGTCTGTAAATGTCATTGATACAGTTTAAATAAAAATCAGAGCATTTACTTCAATTTTATATGTAAAAAGTAACGTATAAACAAAAAATATATTAAACAATTGTCGGACTTCATTGATGTTTTTTTTTAAATATATATATATATATATATATATATATATATATATATATATATATATATATATATATATATATATATATATGAAAAAAAAATATATACGGAAAAAAAAACAAACAAAAATCCTTATATACAATTATACCATGTTTAAACGGAGCGCTGATCTTATAAAACTTTCAGTTATCTGCTTGGATAAGTCTTATTCTTATGTCCATCGTCTTTGTCCTGTTGAATTGATAATGTTAATTATATTTTATGAATATGTCCTGAAGATGATTTATTAGACCGAAACGTCCGACGTTGACATATTAACATTAAAACAGCATAATTGCATATAAGGATTTTTGTTTGTTTTTTCCGTATATATTTTTCTTCATACTGTCGGATTTATATCCATATATTTGCTTATATATATATATATATATATATATATATATATATATATATATATATATATATATATATAAATGGTGGTACTCGTTTGGAAAAACCTCGGATAGCTCAACTCGCAGTAGAACAAATAGGTACCCGGGGAAAAATGGGGAATAAAAAAAAGAAAGAACCAAGAACATTAAAAGAAGGCGAAAACAATCGTCAAGTGTTTAAACTCCAAGTCAGGTCTAACTTTTTTCCAAACACCTCCCTGTTCCGGCCGTCAAGTTCTACGGTCTTATTGTATTAAATTTCCAGTTTTGTCTTTATTCTCTTCAATTAGTTTCCCTGTTATGTATATTTCGTTACGCTATCTCATATATTTCCAGAGTTAATACCATCAAAAAAACATCATGATTTAAATAGAATGCAATATATTTTGCCATCTATCGCTATTTCGATCAGAAGCGTTTACAGATCAGAGCTACATATGTTCATCTAGAGAATCTATAATAAAACCTATAATAAAATCTATAATAAAAACTATAATAAATCTATAACAAAATAAAGTTAAGAATCCGAAAACACTTATATTTGTATAACGTGTTTTGCTTTTGTATGTGTGGCTTACAGTCTTATCGTATTAAAACACCAGTTCTCATACGATCAACGAAGTTAAGCAATTCTTGAGCCTGGTCATTACTTTGATGGGTGACTGCTTGGGAATACCAGGTACTGTAAGCTTGAATGTGAGGGTAATGGATAATGGTTTGGAATTTTAATTAGAGAACCGGGATCATTATATTCAGTTACACGCAAATATTCCTTGGAAAATGGGTCAAAATGGTTAAACGTCGTATCTGAAAACCTGGAAAAAGAAACCCAATTAGTTTAGTGATTTTTTTTTAGATATTAAATATTTTCTTGGATGGATAATTATCCCATGCTGTTATACGATTTTGACAATTTACATATATAACTAAAATATTTAATATATTTTATATATAATATTTTTTATATTTTTTTATTTTATTTTTTATTATTTATTATTTATTTATTTATTTATTTTGTTTTGATTGAATAAATAGTTCCACCCCTGTTGATCCGTATTTTTTTTCTTTTTTTACCCCCCTCCCTCTTTCGTCAATATTGAATAGATGGTACTCCCCAACCTTCTTGGTTGTTTGCTTTTTGTTTTTTTTTGTTTGGTCACGTGGTTGTGGTTTTTTGTTTATTGACTATATATTCCGTTCTCTTTTGTTTTTTTATCTTTTTTTTTTACCTTTTTGTTTGTTTCTTTTTTTTACCTTGTTAGCCGGCCTTCCCTGACGATCCGCTTAGGTGAAACCTTGGTAGGTTTGTAAAAAAAAGGCTACATACACGCACACACACACACACACACATATATATATATATATATATATATATAGAGAGAGAGAGAGAGAGAGAGAGAGAGAGAGAGAGAGAGAGAGAGAGACAGGCAGACAGTCAGACAGACAGAAAGAGAGATGGATAGATATTGTCTCTGTGCAGGTGGAATTTGTGTGAATATGCGTGTATCCGATGCGTGTATATATGCATTTGTGTTCATGTAAATATATCGGTTTGAAAATGCAAAATCAACAGAAATCTACGACAAATTCATTTAATCGAAAACCTTCCTTTTCGCCTGTTACTAAAAGAAATGAAACGCATATGATAGTGACTCAGTTCATCACTGGGGAATTTGGCTGACAAGATTTTGTTTGTCCTTCAAGGCTTCCGTAAAGCTTTATTTTCGCATTGTTGACTTCCATTAAAGTAAAGAATGTGACTTTTCTTCAAATCGTTATCTGTTTGTTTCGTTTTTAGGACATTGGCTTTTCTCGTTCGGAGATCGTTATCTCATTCTCTACTCGTCATGAAGACAAAGCTTACCAACTGCATATATGCATATATCCCTTCTTATATATGATGTACGTTTGTATGTATAGATCTATATTTAAATGAAAATGTTCATAGATATGAAACGTATATAAGAAGGTACGATGAAAATTTCTCCGAGTGACAAAAATAGGATTCCAAGATAAATTGTGATGTTTGGTCATTTGGTGTCACTTTAATTTGTATTGTATAGTAACGATCCGGGTTCGATTCTTGGTAGTGGATACGCACGGCTGATGAGTCCCAAGAAATGACGAAATGGCCGTTCAATGCTTTCTGCATTCTGTTTTGGGGATTCTTGTTGTAGACTCGATGAACTACTATGTGAAATATATATAATGGCAATATATGCATATATATCATACGTATATATTTACTTCGTTCATATATATATATATATATATATATATATATATATATATATATATATATATATATATACACATACAGAGACTCTACTTAAATAAATTAAATCTGTAAAAGTAACGTATAAACAGAAAATATGTAATTTGTCGGACATAATCCATTTCATTATATATATATATATATATATATATATATATAAATTATGGAAAATAAAGCAAAATATTAAAAAAAAATCCACATTACAACCAAAACTGTTTGCGATATCTCTCTTCTTTTTAATATACACACTTTTCACTCGTTGGAACTACTATAACCCTTCCTTTATATATATATATATATATATATATATATATATATATATATATCCATTTTAATTTATTAAATAATGTGTGTTCCATCTATCAGCAAGGGCATTCAATAACTCCTATTTAAAAAAATGTGCCCACTGGCTGGAATCAAACATACGTCTCCGTGTCTTGGAGAAACTAACTTTACTGCTTGCCCACGAAGGACGTCAGAGTAAGCAAGGCTGTCCGAGACCATTAAGCTTTTGTTTTTAGCAATTTTATTATTAAGTAACACACATTGAATTTCGATATTCCTGCTCAGAATGATATTAGAAAGAGCAATACCAATTCAAAAGAAGACATACCTGTGTTTTATAGATTATGCAAAAGCGTTTGTTGTAGTACATCAGACCGACTGGTTGGAACTGATTGACAAGGATATTAGAATAATCCCAAAACTATAATAGCAGCAAACTTCCTGCATACGGACAGGAAATGAATTCCGTAAACATACAAAAATAGAAAGGGGTGTAAGACAAGGATGCGTCTTCTCTCCAGACTTATTCAACCAATACAGTGAATCAATTCTGAGAGAATTAGAAGTCCTACAAGGATTCATTATTGGCGGCCACAATCGTAACAACATAAGAAAGGCAGATGGAACATTGCTGATAACACACACAGAAAGGTACGTACAAGAATTCCTACAAAATGTAATGAAGAAAAAGCAAGAGGAAATGAGTAAAAGTCAATGGTCAAGACAAAATTCATGTTTTTTTTGCAAATGGAACAGCCCAAGATGCAAATTAAAAATTGGAGATACGAAAATCAAGCAAGTAAAACAATTTAGTTATCTGGGAAGTGTTTTAACAAACGACAGAAGTTGCGACACCGAAATCCGAAGGTGTATTGGGATAGCGAAAGATGCCTTTCCAAAGCTAAGCAAAGTATTAAAAAAAGAGAAAAATATCGTTAAAAACGGAGAAAACGAGACTGATTTATTATTTAATATCAGTCCTCTTATATGGCAGTGAATTCTGGATAATCTCCTTACGGATCAAAAAAAAAACTTGAAGCCAAATGTGGTTCTACAGAGGGATGCTGAGAATACCATAGACAGGGCATGTCAGCAACTACGAAGTTTTACAGAAAATAGTAACAGAAGGGACACTTATATTTAAAGTCAGAAATAAACAGTTGATATTTCTAGGGCTCATAATGAGGAAAGAGGACTGGGAAAATTTGAAACTCAAAGGACAGCTTGAAGGCAAGATTGACAGAGGAAAACAACGCATAACCTACCTAGAGAAGTTGAGCAAATGGATGGAGGAATAAGGTTTAGAATAAATAAGAAAATATCAAATTATATTAACAGCGACAAATGACAGAAAAATGTCGGGTACCAAGATCACCAAAGGCCCTAAAAGGACATGTCATGTAATAGAAGAACCCACATTATGAGATGGAAGATATGTCAAGAAAGATGGAATGCTAAAAGATATATAGAAATTTATATATCATATTCTGCAATATAATATATATATATATATATATATATATATATATATATATATATATATATATATATATATATATAATGTAGTGGTTCCAACGAGAGAAAAGTATGTATATTAAAAAGAAGAAGAGAGGTGCCGCAAACGTTTTTGGTTGTAATGTGGATTTATTTAGAAAAATATTATGCTTTGTTTTACATAATTTTACGACACGTGTTTCTGGTCTCGCGACCGTCTTCAGGTTAAGAATATTATTATATTATTACATATTATTAAAAATAATTATTTTTTCCTCGTGTTCAATGTTAAATATTCTCGATATGAGACATTTTCTGTTTGTGTGTTGATAGGAGAATTTGATAATTATATTTAAGTAATTCATCGAGTCTGAAAGAAGCCTCAACAGAATGCAGAAAACACTGGACGGCCGTTTCGTCCTATATTTGGAACTCATCAGCAGTGCGCATCCTCTACCGAGGATTGAAACCCTGACAGTTAGGTTGTCAAGCAAACATCATACCAACTGTTCCAACGGGCCTCAATAGAGTTTCGCTCGCTCACATATTCCGTCACCGATGCCCATTTGGAACAGCTGGTATGATGTTTTCTTGAAAACCTAACTGTCAGGGTTTCAATCCTCGGTAGAGGATACGCACTGCTGATGAGTCCCAAATATAAGACTCTTAATTTGGGGTCAAAACACTATGAAAGTGCAAAAATAGATTTTAATACCAGCAATTAAAATGTTGTCGGCATTAAATAACCCATTGTGGTTGAGGTACCGTAAAACAAACCAAACTCTCTCTCTCTCTCTCTATATATATATATATATATATATATATATATATATATATGTTGTAAAGAAGTAATTGCTTAAGAAATAGCTAAACAAGGGGTTGCAGATAAATAGCGTATTGAACAGTAAATATAACAGAATTGTGTTACACGACTTGGGAGTGTGTGTCGCTTGAGCAGCGTTCAGTCTGTATCACATATCGAGGGATTTATTATATATGTGTGTATGTGTGTGTGTGGCACAAGGACGAGTTTAACGTGGGTCGGACAAAAATCCCCGTAGAACTCGCATAAAATGGTTCGTGTCTGTCTACCTCCAAGGCCGAAACTCTGCCCTTCGGTACAGCCTCGTCCGGGTTCCGCTCTGTCAAAAGCAGAGAGTTCGACAGGAGCTGCGAACAGCCTCAGTAGAACAGTCTGTATTTAACGGCCCCACCCACGTGAGTCGTATGTGGCATAGGCCGGTTTAGCGTGGGTTCTCCGAGCCCGTAGGCTCGGCCAAAAATATTCCCTTTGAACCTGTATAAACGCGTTCAGGGCCTGTCTACATCTCCGGAAGAAACTTTGCCCTGCGCCAAAGCCTCGTCCGAGTTCCTCTCTGCCGAAGCAGAGAGTTTGACAGCATATGAACGGTTTGGCACCGTTATATTTAACGCCCCCCCCCACGTGGATCTCTATGTGGCACAAGGCCGGTTTAGTGTGGGTTCTCCGAGCCGTTAAGCTCGACCAAAAATATTACCTTTGAACCCGTATAAACGGGTTCAGGTCCTGTTGTGTCTTTTTAGTCCTCTTTAATAAATCTTGTATATAGACATACATACCACATACATATATACACACACACACACACACAGAGA